GTCTCCTCCTTACAGAAGTTGTGCAATATAACAATGAAAAAATTACTGATGGCAATTAATTATTGTTTGTTTATATTTTTATCATAAAGATTACTGGATACACGTTATATATACTGTGTTTTTTTGTTGTTAAATACTACTTATTGTGAACGGTATAAATTTAAAAATAATATAATGACATAATTTAATAAAGTTATTGAAATATTTAATTAACTCAATTATTTTTCAAGCAAAGCAAAATAAAGTTACCACACTTATATTGTAAGCTTAAATGACATTTTTAGTGAACGTTAAATATTTTTTTTTTAGTATGTATGCTTTAAATTGCAAAAGATAATTACAAATTATTACAACACCTATAATTTTTACTATAGCAATATTTTTATTAATATTTATTTATAATAAATAATAATAATAATTGCTAAAATTATTTATCGATTAGGAATACAATCAATATTAATTATTGTCAATTGATACTATCTAGATTTAGGTAATTATCAGCAAATGTCTACCACTGATCGATGTCTATGTTTTCTCCACAACCAATATCTACTATTTACGAAGTACAYCATGTTAAAGTGCCGAACTTTACCAGTACATTACTAACATGCGAAAGAGCCGCTACAATATAATGACGGAAGACCGATAGTAAGTTGGAAGATTAACGTCATTCGATCAACCAAAGAATAATATCGCCGTGTGGAACTTATCGATCGAAAGTGATTAAATGTCCACGATATTTATTTTCGTAATTGATATTGCTCTTCCCTGTCTAAATGTATTATWAAGAGGACGTCTCACCCGCATGTRTTATCTCCGTCTTAAAAGTGCATAACATAGTAAGTATAAATATTACGCTCAGCAGATCACATTTAACTCCGTTATTTTAAGAATTAGAGAAAATCGACCTCTCATAAAATTTAAAGATAAGATTGTTTTTTAGACAACCTCATAGGCTTTTTTAAATATTTWAATTTTGAAGCGAGTTATAAGTATTTTAATAAGTACAAAAAATTACAAATTTAGAATATTTATAAATCGCTTCAAAATTAAAATATGATAAAAAGCCCATGAGGTTGTCTAAATAACAATCTTATCTTTAAATTTTATAAGAGGTCGATTCTTTTTAATTCTTAAAATAACCGAGTTAAAYGTGATCCGCTGAGCGTAACATTTACTATGTTATGCACTTGTAAGACGGAGACAACACACCTGGGTCGGGTGGGTGAGACGTCCTCTTGATAAGACAATATAATTGATGTTACCTACTATATTATATACATTAAAATGTACAGGAAACAGAGACTTAATATTTTATTTATCCATCAATAAGTTATGTGTCTGGCACTTMCGTCTATCTACTACAACTAATACCACAATACCAGACGGACTTGGTCAGGGTTTAAGTATATAAACGTTTTATGTTAAAAATTTAAAATAACATAAAAGAATAATACTAATTTATAAAATTTGAAACATGAGACTATAAGAGTGAAGAAATAATAATTGCCTTAAAATTAGTTTTTTTACGACAAATATTTAAAATACTATACGTTTTATATAAGATAAAAAAAAAATAATCTGTTTAGTGTTCTCGATAATGAGATATTGATGTTATATTTTTGTAAGCCTACAGCCAAATTTGTCTCTGTTGTACACGGCCTGGATGTTTATTGGGAAAATTMTAAAAATAATTGAAAGTATCCAGAGGACATTTTCCATAGACGTACTGCAGTACATCTTATAAAACGGAATATTTCCAGATCTACAATATATCATAATAACGAAAACAATCAGATTCATCATCCGAAAATCAATACGGTACAACAATTTGACATATCTTTCGATCTGYCTCCTATATCTAACACACCTCATTAGTCTCACCAATAACCTAACCTAACCGGCTGCAGCTTGGACTTTATATATCATACCCCAATTAAAATAGTATAGATACAAACGTGTTTTATTTTATGAATTTTCCAAACACATTATAATGCAAATGATGCAATATGGTATAAAAAAAAAATAATATTCAATCGTTCTGAAATTGACGTTTTAAATGCAACTATTACAGAGTAGTTCATCTGCATGATAAAAAATTAGCTGTATTTATGATACTGGCTARGCGTAAATATCATAGATAACTCCCCACGAAAATCAATATTATACTATCAGAATGAATATTTCTTGGAAATTATATCCAGATATTTGCAACTAAGTCAAATCGACATTTTTTCCAACCATTTATATGTTTTTATTATTATTTTTAATTTATTCATTGTACAATGATTAATAATTAAACTCRAAACATCAATTGATAAACTAATATAATTACGGTAAATGTATTACGGGAATAGTCTTAAAAATTAAAGCTCTACCTATAAACTATTTGTTTAACCATTAATTTGGGTGTCAGAAGCATGACTAAAATATCTGAAAATAGTTAATTTTATGTTACACCGTTCCAATCTAAAATTAACAAGTACAAATATATTCAAATAGAAAGTTATTAATTTACGACGTTTTAAATCTTACAGTATTTCAATATATAATACGTGCACAATAAAAAATGGTTGTATTTATTTAGGAAGGTAAAAATACTATCTTGTATAAATATAAAATTTACTTAAAATTGTGTATTTTCCACATATTATTATAATGGAATAAAAAGGTTTGAAATGAGTTCAGAGTTTAAAAAGATATTGAGTGTTTCCATTATCTTTAAAAGCAACTTTTTTTGGGTAAATGTATATTTAATTCAAAAAATAAAAATGTTTTAAATTATAGTAAGTTACGTTCATATATATTATATAACCTAACCTAATCCAGCCCAAGTATATTAATACATATAAATAAATATATGTATATTAATGCTATAAATGTATCAGTATAATACTATATTATTTTTATTCTTGTTGTTGAAAATATCGAAATTGTATGTACCTACTTTACACTTAGGGATAAATTTTAATTTTACATATTTTGTGGATTTACATATAAGCATAYGATAATAAAAATTTCATATCTGCTCAAAGGATAAYAATATTTTTAGGAAACTACATAGYTCACAAATGACTGTTTAAATTGTTCTATTATAATAATGTCAATAGTTTAATTTTATGAAACAGGAATATTTTTAACGATATATATATAAATGATTTTTATTTTACTGGATGAAAAGTAAAAATTTCCAGTCAAATTAACCAAAATAAAATTATAAAGACAAGAGATTGAAAATGATATCTTGGTACATCCTGGCACCTTGCTAATATAAAATAAGGTAAAAAATATTTTTAGCATTTTACATTATCATACCTTTTTCGCTAACACCTACCTATATAGAACATTAATTTTTCGTTAATGGTTACACGTAAACTAATAATGAAAATTATACACACACGTCTCATATTATAGTATTTCATATCTATAACATTATAAACAGCGATAAAGCTATATTTTAAAATTGGCAAAATAATGAGCTAAAATTATGGAAAAGCCTGTTTTAATGGTATGTTTTTATTTATTTCTTAAATTCCAAAAGAGAAAAATATTCTTTTCGAATCTTCAATTGAACATAACAATGAACGAATATCATAAGTGCTCGGAGACACAGGATAATAAACTAGCAAAAACATAATTTATTTACTAGTAATTAAATTGTTGAAATCGATTGATAATGATAATTTATTTTAATATCAGCATCCTAATGTTCATTTCAAGATATTTAGATATTTGTTATTTTTAGAATATCTTGTTTGCACGAGAGTAAGCTCAAGTTTATTACATTTTTCAACTTTTCTCCTGACATCCATCTGAATCTAATCTACATTGTTTGTTTTTAATTTTATTGGATCGAATATTCAAGGGATAACATACAGTAACAGAGAGATATTGAACAAACAAAAGAGTACAAATGATTATTTTTTATTGATAGATGTATAGAAAAAATGCATTCCTGCTTATGCAAAACGCATTATCATTATATTTTAAATTTTAAATTTTAAAAATTAAAAACTATTTTTATAAATTAAAGATTTTTAGTATGAAAATTATTTTAGTATAAACAGTAGTCATTATATATTGTGTACTTCTACTTATTTCAAACTTTTACCCATTCTTAAGAATTCATTATTATATTCCTAATATGTATAATCTGAATTTATATTCTTATTTTTATACTTCATACATCTGTAATTAATTTCAACCAAACCAATACAAACATTCTTAATATGATTTAAATTTTCATATTTTACTTCATTTTGCACTACTTATGACATTTTCCGAGAGGCCTAATAAGTCAATTTAGAATTAATAATTGTACGTTATGATATCGTAATGTGAATATTTTAATTTAGTATTTATGATAATTGTATTAAATTGTTATGATATATCTTTATTTCATTCGAGTTAAGATATTTTAAGATATTGGCAATTATACAATTAGCTCATAAACATAAACCACAGGTGGGGACCAATTTAATATTTTATATAAATACTTAATACTGAACCTCTGGCAAACGTTGTATTACCCACTAAGAATATTTTTTTTTTTTTGGCAGCTCGCCGGCATCTAACCAATTCCAAAATCAATTGCAACACTAATAGTAGGTATGTAGATATAGTTTCGATAGTTTTTGTGGTTTCCGAGATATCCAAGTACTAACAAACTCACGGTATGATTTATATACAATAATTGTATTATCTTAAAATTGTTTGTTTAAAATGTAAACATTTTGTTTTTAAGCATTTAAACTTGTTTCAATTTCGTAATAATGTCGTATAATTGTAAAAAATATCAAATATCGTAAGGCAAATGTTTCAATCATATACCAAGTGATAGTTTGGTGRGTGCCTATGATGGACCGCTTTTCAACATGATGGTAATATAGAGAAACTTAATCGTATATATCATTATAATATATATATATGCATTAAGCTCAGTAGAAATTTTATAAAGCAGCAGTTGACTAGAACGTAAGATTGTTTAGAATTACACGTACCTGGCATTTCGGATATCTTTCGGGTACCCTTTTGACCTTCCAGCCGAGCAGAGGTGGTATGCAAATAACGCCACTGAATATCCACACGAAACCGATCATGACCATCGCCCGGGCTGGAGTGCGTTTCTTCAAATAGTCGACGGCCTGCGTGATAGACCAGTACCTGTCCAGGGCTATCAGACACAAGTTCATGATGGACGCGGTGCATAGGAGCACGTCGAGCGCGGCGTGTATGTCGCACCACCAGTCGCCGAATATCCAATAGCCCATCAGCTCGTTGGCCAACGAGAATGGCATTACGATTATGCCCAGGAAGAAGTCGGCCACGGCCAGGCTGGCGATGAACCAGTTCTGCACGTTCTTCAGCGCCTTTTCCGTCACGATGGCGATGATGACCAGCATGTTACCCACGACGACGACGATCATGAGCATGATTACCACGACGGAAGCGATGACTATTTCCGGTATCGAGTACGTTGACGGGTAAACAGACTCGAAAATATAATACGTTCGGTTCGGGTCCATCGTCACGTTGGTGTCATTCAGGAAACCCGAACCGTTCTGGTCCACCAGGAGCCCGAACTCGTTCTGGTCGATTTTGAACACCATGCCTGAAAGGCTGGATAGGTTTTCAGCCACGTCTATCGATTCCATTGTGGCAGTGGATCAATTCRACCAAACGGAAATAGATATATCAATGCGATGGCCACCGAGGGCGTGGCATAAAGGGAAAGAATGGTGATAGGATTTAGGTGGTCACTGCAAGCTCATCACCCGTTGGTAGACTATATTATCGACGGTAGCATGTCGCCAATAGTCAAATTTTCTCCACGTCTGCTGGAACGTCGGGGGTCTCTTTCTCCGGAAATCTTTCCACCAAACAAAACTCATGACCCGTTTGCGTTATCGAATTTGAATGGTCTCTGAAAAAAACGGAAAAATAGTCAAAATAAATTTACATGAAACATATTGTATTATAACTAGGTGACACGAGTAAAGCCTTTTGCTAACCCTCTCGGTTTTTGCAACGGGAAAACGCGACTTAAACCATGGCATTAAGTCCACGTCACGTTTCTCTCCTAACGCCTAATGGCTAACGAGAATATTTAAATAGATTACCGATCCTTAAAGACAATTCTGATGCGCAGGCGCAATATGCAATTTTACTAAGCGAATCAATTTAATTCTACGACTTGTTGGATGAAGTTATAATCAATTACAATTTGATACTTTGTAATTGAAATTGTATCACTATTCATGCGGAAACTTAGTACTTATTTTTTCGATTCTACATACCATCATCAATTATTACGAATGTACTTTATTTAATGTAAAATTTTTATAGGGTTTTTCATAATTAAAATATAATTATATATTTTCAAAAAATATAATAATGTTTAAATTAATACAGACACTTTCAAAAAATAACCATTTATGCCTACGAGTTATTTTAAAAATGATAAGTATTCATAATAATAATTGTATTGTTATTTATTATGCGTTAAATTTATTTGTTTCCTGAAAATAAATTTAAATAAAAATGGGTAACAAAAAAAAATTATTTTCACATATTATAATTAATAACATCACATATTATTCTAAATAACTTTGTGTGTATTATTATAAACAGTTATATGGAATTTCATAGAAATTATATAGGTTACCTACTCTCTTAAGACACTTTGTACAAATATTATATTTTAACTCCGTAAAAAAATATTTTCATCATACTTTTTTACTTCGTTTTATTATAAAATATCATAACACGATTAAAAATAAGTTTTGAGATAATTTTACTTTTTTTTTCAATCTTAATAAATTATAAAAGAATGTTATTTGGGTAAAGCTATCAAGTTATTGGTTAGATTGGTTTATAAAATCAGATGTCGTTGTTTCTCGAGAATTTCTGATACAGATASACAAAATAATCAATGAATTTAATATTTAATTGTATTATTGATCTTTCACCATTACATGACATATTATTTAATATCGTCTACTGACGTGTTATTATTCTATTTTCATTACGACGTGKSMCACGCGAATTGATAACACGGAACAATTCTATAATCTCGCCTGAGATTATAATTATATTCAATTTATACCTACCTACTGTACATATATTAATTACATCACATTTCGAGTACTTTTCCACAGGCTTATAATATGTTGAATAAAACAACGGTCCTGCCATATAATTATTTTAATAGGACACTCAACAACATTTCTGTATGTGACTAAGTACGTCATTAGACGATGAAATCATAAACTGGAATTTGATATTCAACCTAGGCTAACACGTGAATATTAAATTACATTTCAACTCTTTAACAAAGTAGGGTGTGTAGATACCCGAGTATGGATTACGGACATTTTCAACAGCTATTTATACTTGGACACGATAAAAACAAAACTGAATTTGACTAATTTCGTAAATAAATCAGGTGGTAATAAGTCTGAGGTTCATCATAATAGTGCCAGCTAGGTTTGTGGTCCACGTAATATGCGATGGTACCTATATGTAAGATTGCCAATCGTACTGATTACGAGCCTCCAACGTAGMWMTACTGATATTTATTTTGATTCGTCAATGTCCAACAAATATATTTTGTATCTTAATTTTTGGAAAAATGACTTAAGTAAACCGCAATAAAACCAAACGGATCTTGAAGAGATTGGTTTTAATTYAACTGCAATTTGAAACAGCATACTGCAAATTTAATACACAAATCTAAGTTTAGAAATGTCACAACTTATTTTTGTGTCTGTTTTAAATTAACRTTTTCAATAATAATTACACCCATGGTAATTTACTGAAAGAGATTCAGTTATATAATATTATGATGATAAATTACATTATATACAATGGTAAAAAACTTCCATCAACGTTTATTTGCATAACAATTCAATAACAAATAATACGATCGAGCATCTCGATGTAATACAAATAGTTTTATATTCATATTGTAAATAAATCGTAAAATATTTTAGTAGCCAAAATACTCATGAAATTATTATTGTAATATAACTCCAATAGTACCAATTTATAACTAATAAATGTTTAAATACTTATACGAGTGTTGATTTGGATTAGTCTAAATTATGTGCATTTATTGGAATAGAACTTTATAAATAATACATAATTTTAAATACCTAAGTTTTAAGTGTACATTAATATTAATGATGATAACGAAAAGTAAGGAATTCAATATGTTTATATGTAAGATGTACCCAGGAATTTGATGTAAAATTGAGTTAAATGTATAAGTAAAATTGATATAACATATTTATGAATTTTAAAAGTTTCCTATTCATTAAACAATTTTCTATTTTTAAGGAAGGACAGATTTTTCAGCGGTATAATGATAGGTATGGTTTATTTTTAAATATGTTTATTTTAAATTAATGGGCGATCAATAAAGTGTACAATATAATAAATGTAATATTTTATTAAGTATGAAAATATAAAATATATTTTACTCGTAAGAATCATTTTAGTTTGTAATGATGGATCTTAAACATACATGATGTATTTATTTAGATTATCAATAGCTTTTGATATTAATAAACAATAATATGAAATTATAATCAGCACCAATCTAACATTTATACTTGTTTTTGAATTGAAAAAAAAATAAACATAGAAATATATTGTGAATAAAAAATGCAAAACTGTTGAAAATATAGTTGAATTTTAATTTTATGAAAACTTACGTACACAAATACCAATGGTCATAAATTGTATTGATTTAAAAATAACTATATTAATGTATGGTTGAATAGGCAAATTTTTTTTTCAATTTTATTCTTTAATCCAGCGGTTCCCAAWCTTTTAGAATCGCGGGGAACCCTTAGGAAATAGTTTGTGTTTTGAGGAACCCTAATGTGTCTTTACTTCCAACTCAACCCTATTTTTTCTAAAAAAAAAAAACAGTACTACAAAAAATGTTTCAGACATCACATACATCTGACGGAACCCTTGAGGTAGTCCCACGGAACCCTAGGGTTCCGCGGAACACACTTTGGGAAACGCTTAAAGTATTAAAGTATTAAAGTTTAATCCATACAGTTCGTCACATTTATTGACTTATGAATAAATATTTATAATTTAAAATTGCTTTTGAGCCGTTAAACTATTATTGTATGATAAATTGGTAAATAATAAGTAATAATAACCCAACCTAACAAATGTTATATCACTCATATCTATGGATTACAGGTATAATTTATTGTTCATAAATATAATTGTAAAAAATGTCGTGAACTAGAAGTTAAAATTTAAAATTTAAAACAGATACTTATCAAAAAATTCACAACTCTTGTATAAAAGTAGRTATATTTACGTATTTCTTATAATTCGATATTTTAAAAACTTTAATACTGTGAAGTAAAATTTGTATTTATTATTTTTAGAATTAAATACTCAAAGTTCAGTAAATAAAATGAGTAATAAGCAGAAGTCCCTGAGGTAATATAAACCCTAAATATATTTTGAAACTATTTTGATTTGTTTAAATAACCACCAAGAGCACAATAATACTATACAATTTACAAATCATATCCCTCTGGTGAAATTAGTCACCAGATTATTAGTTTGATTTTAATAAATACCAGTATTCATTTTTAAGTTTTTTACACACATATAATAAAAAAAGTATATATCCTTGAAGTATATTTTTATTAGAAAACATTGTAAATATTAATTTGAATAATAACAATAAATATAATCATAAAAAAAGGGTAACCCACTCTTGTATGCTATTGTAGAAGTCGAGTGTGCCTTATCGTTGATTAGGTCCTGTGATATATAGATGTGTTTAAATTTAAATTAAATGATAAATCTTTGTATGTAGTGAAAAAACGGTTTGTAGCGAATACTGTTTAATTGTTTGGTAACCAAAATTATTCAACAATTATAACATTAAAATTTTAAAAATGATAATATATTTTTTTTAATTCTCTCCGATTATTTTAAAAAGCACAGAGCATTTTCAATTCAACCTCACGAAAATACAGATTATAATTTGCTACAAAAAACCTCCGTAAAAGTTGATGATCAGATCATTTTTTCTAGAAAAAAAAGTGTCATCAGACACCAAAAAAAAAAAACTACACGAGCACACATTATTATTAAATCAATACATCTATTGCTCAGCAACGAATCTAAAACAAAATATTGTTCTATTGTAATACATTTTAAAAAGAAATATACGAGATATAACCTAACCTATCGTAGATATATTGTTATATTTTTTATTGGTTTTGTTCAAAGGTTTAAAATAACGTTAGTTCTTAGTTTGTAATTCCACTAATATTTTTTAGATGATTTAGATTTAAAGAAAAGTGTTCATTTTAATCGTAAATCGTAATACAATAATTTTGTTTATGACTTATTAACAGTRATGTTTTTGAACCATTCCGCCCTTGAATTATGAGTGATAGCCGCCCATACACGGCAACAGCTGCCGTACGACAGTGTATTATACAAAATATATACAAGCTACATTATTATTCGCACTTTGCATGATATAAGAATATTATTATATATCAGTTAAACCAAATATTTTTTTTAATGGACATGTTTCCGATCAATGACATATTATTTTTTTTTWAATTTAAACACAATATATACGTTATAATAATATTATAATACTATCATGACGGACAACTGCTATAGTTTCGAATTCACATGCGGGTGTAACTATTAAACGGTTAGGTTAATTTCTTTATTGCGCATTAGAAATTTAGAATCATTGAACCACAACTAGGCATCTGAGCGCAGAGTTCATTGTTTATGGCAGGTACGGGCATAATATAATATAATAATAATAATAATATTATCGTGGTCACTTTATTGTTCACGCCGAAATTAAAGTGGTTTATTAAATACTGTACGCAATAAAATAATATTTACATACCAGCT